TATACTTCCACGTGATTTCTGTGCGGTTGGTCTCTACGTGACATACTTAGTGGAGACCTCATAGAAAGCGGCTCTGAAGAAGGCGAAATTCGCCGAAACGTCAGCTTAATCGTGAACAAAGAAACAATAACACCTCGCGTTTGCTCAAAAAAAAATACGAACAAAATCGCTTCTATGACTATTCAGAGGGCATGTTCATTGAAGTTATACTGAATAGTTTTGGAAAGTCTTAGCAAAAATTATAATCCTCGCAGGATATTTGTGAAGTCAATGGTGAACTAAATATTCTACAATCTAGAAGTAACTATGAGGATCAATTTATCGATTGATGATTTCATCTTCTGTGTTACATAGCAATCCACAACAAATGCCGTATACGATTGATCTCAGAAATATTTTTAAAAAACTTGAACTTCTTTATAGTACGCCTTTGGTTTTATGATGGCAAAATTTTTTCTACATAGCTTGCTTGTGCTAATCAATGGGCACAGTTTTGTGATAGTCATGTCATCCAACTGTCATATGTCAATCAAAATCGTTTCCTGGGCAGCAGAACTGGTGAAGTTGTTTCGGTCGTAGATGACATCTGTTAGGAAAAGCATTTGGCGTTTTTTCTCTGTAAATTTTTTGTGTTGACATAAAGTAAAATAAAAATGTAAGGGTCGTAGCAGACCATGACAGCCACTAGATGCAAATATTGCATTTAGAGAACTTGACATAATGACAAACAATACTTTGTTCTTCTATTTTCGAATTAGTCTTCTACTTAGTAACTAGTCGAATCTAGTTAGTCTTTTTTCGAGTTTCGAGAACGAATAAGTTGTTCGATAGTGAAATGACTTCGCGCATAGGGAACTGTCCTGCTTCGCGACGTTGTTCACCGCTATCTATTGAGAAGCTCAACTTCCCTGCTACCTAACAAAAGTCTAACAACGAAAACTTTTTCCCTTCTTAGTGGTATTATTCGTCATCTTGAATTAGAAGGCTCGACATTCATACAGTGTGAAACCTTACACACAATACGGTCTATCTAAAGTCTAAAATGACTGGGCGTGCTCTTGACGAAGCTAACAGTAATGAAAAGACGGTATTAATACCGATACTGAAAAATTAATAGTACAGCTATTTATTCAGAGCTGTTGATTTTTGATTTGGGAGTATTTCTTCTACTATAATAACAAATTTTTAAACTAAGAAGAATAGGATTATAAATAGGAAGCAACTTTACCGATATGTACATGCTGCAACGAATAACTGCTGAAAACAAGTAGCTTTGAAATCCTGATAGAGCGAGTAGCAACGTGGCCAGCCACATTCTTTCCAGAAAACGATTCACCTAATATTAGTGCAGGTGAAGCTGATCAGTATCGATCGGTCATGCTCGACCAATCGGACCAACATCGTTTCAACTGACGTAAGAGTGACTTACTTCAAAATTTCTTGACTGCGTGTGGAGATCGCCGTAAAAATATGATACAGCATATAAACAAAAATATCCGATTGAGAAGAGTAGAAAGATTCCTTGTATCAATATATGTGGAAGAAGTAGACATGAAGTATCGAAGAGAATTCCACAAAATAGCAAGAATATCTGAAATAAGTAAGAATAGAATTTTGTGTAGGATAAAACCAGTTTTTATTTTCGGAAGCACGCGAATTACACACAGCTTCTCTACCTAACGGTACCATCAAAAACACCTGTCAACGGGAATGATCTGGGGAGCACAAATCGGCATTGAACCCAGTTAAGCTGGTCGAAATTACAATGTAACATTTTTTTTGCTGCTTACTATAATTTTTCACGAAGTGGCATGATGTGAAATACAACCACAACGATGCTGAAATATTCGCAAATCTTGGACTCCGGACCATATAGAACCACGATTACCCTTTCCGGAGGCTGACGTATTACGCAGTGCACCATGGAGGCCACCGCTTTACGTTTTTTTTTTCGCTGACGGATTATTGCTGATGGCGACGTTAGCGACGTTAGGTTGAAAACTAGCCATGAGAAGCGCAAACCAAAGACGTTCGTGGTGCAGTGCGTAATACGCGAGCGGCCGAAAGTGGTAATCGTGTTTCGATATGGTCCTGGCTCCAAGTTTTGCAAATATCTTAGCATCGTTGTGGTTGTGGTTCACATGATACCGTGACGTGAAAAATTGCAGAAGACAGCAAATAAAAAGGTTATATTCTCAAAGATGAGCAGTTTTTCACTTGTTTCAAATTCCACTTTCGATTGTGTCTAATTTCTCAAAACCATACTAATTTCTGCGGTTGCTTTCACGAATATTTTTACTCTATTTTGTAACGATCTTTAAATGCAATTTTAAATTATTATTTACTGCCTACTCTTGAAATATAACTTCAATGATACTAAGATATTTGCAAAACTCCGGACCGCAGGTGTATGCGGGGAACGAACACGCTATTGGTGTGGTGGATGGTCCCGGGTGATAGCAGCGCACTTCACCACTACACCATCTCGGACCCGGATGGTGTAGTGGTGAAGTGCGCTGCTCCCCGGTAAGGACAACAGCGCGTGTTCGTTCCCCACTGCATACACCTGTGGTCCGGAATTTTGCAGATATCTCAGCACTTCATACGAACACGCTATTGTCCTTTCCGGGGAGTAGCGCGTTCACCACCATACCATGCGGGTCCTTCGTTTCGCTTGTCTCTCAGCTAGTTCTATCGATCTTTGCCACAGCAATCACCCGTCAGAAGGATTGATCTGGGGGGCCCAAATCGGATCTTTAAGTATTTTCATCTTATTCAATAACAAAAAGCGTCTGAATAAAATAATACCGAAAATTCCAGAAGTATTTGGATTCAGGTCATTTTTCAAGATCACTGACGTTTAATGTCATAAAGAACGTGAAATCGCCACTGATTTTTCCACTGATCAATTGTTCTTCAGCAAAAGATTACTGTAGAAAAATGTAAGGTGAACTTACAGAAAATAGAACAAAGATCATCATAATGATTAGAATGTAGTCGAATGTGAGTATGGTACTGAAGTGACTGAATTGAAAAATAAGACAATCGCGAAGAAAGCTGAAAATATTTAAATAGTTATCTATTAGGCAAAGAATCCTTTATGAAACTATCTTTTCTTTCTGATATCGTTGAGGTCTTGTATGCTAATGCTACATGTAACACAACCCAGAGGTGTAGCACAGTAACTTAGAGGTGGTCCATTGTACCACATGGTCATTAGTTCGATTCACGTTGTGTGCTAATCAAACTCCCATCACTTCGGAGTGAACAATTTAAAACCAGATTTGTATTGGAGAAGAAAAACACCGCCTCGGTTCATCGATGAGTTATGCAATTTTTTTGAATAGGATATATGTATTCTATCCTCTAGAATGCTACGAATGGAGTCGAATGCATCGATAACGAGGTGATCAGCTTTGCAACGATTTATCCATTATCAAGCGCTTAATTGCCTGAGGTTAGCAAAGGTTAAAAGCGCAAATACTTAGCAACACTGTAGCTTGAACACTAGCTTTACATCAGTTTCCAGTAACAATTGCTCTTAGTGTCTGCTGAGTAGCTAAGGAATTTTTCACTGGTTCGTCCCAGCCGTATCGATTACGATCAGATTCTCTAATCTTGTTTGACATGATTGCTGTATTCACTGAGAGCATGAGCGAAGAAGAAAATGCTCGTTTTCTCAGCGGTTGGTGATCACGGCATCGTAGAAGCTAATCATCTATGGCATCCTCTTGACTGTGCCGTTCCTTTTTTTTTATCTTTCTTGCTTGTTGCAATGAAAAGTGAAAATTTAAGTCACAAACCTCAACGTTGTTATCATATGGTCTCCCGCCTCCACAGTTGAATAGCAAAGCTAATGATGAGCTAACATGAGGTTGACAAAAGAAAAATTGGGCTATTTTTACTAACCTCGTGTTAGCTTATCAATGAAAGAATACGTATTGATTAGTCACTCCGTGGTTAAAGGAAAGTGGGCCATTGAAGAAAAGCTATGGTTTGAAACTCTCATTGTAATGATATAACGGATGATAACACTTTCCCTTTTCATCTCCCTTATAAATGACTTTTGAAGTTCACTTTTCGCGACGTTAAATGACTCGTCAACTAGTGAGAGATTTTGTGTTAAACGTAGACCCAGAATAACCTGTTACTTCCCGTAGGGCAAAGGGTGGATCTTTTTATTGGATTCGTTGTCTCTGATCTGTTGAAAGACTTATACTTCCCAAGTATAAGAAAATTACTCATTGGTTTTCATCCAAAACGAAATTTTTCCACAATTTTGCCGACATAGAATTTTGATGTAAAAACTCTCCTTCAAATGTGGTTCTAAACTTAAACCTAATACCCACGAGCGAAATAGCAGGTGAAGGAAATTGATTGATCAACGGTTGATCACTCCACTCGTCATTAATTATCTTTTACACCACATGAACATTTTACACAATGAGAGTCCGAAGGAATAAAATTTTACACAATCGGAGCTATTAAGACAACTCTAAAGCGATTATTTATATATTCGACTAATTGAAAGCTTTGTATACTACGTAAAAAACCAGGATACCTACTAGAATTCAAGGTAATTTAGGTGTCTACGCTGTCCCTTGCCGTGGTAATGAACAACTCTAATGTTTGTGCTATATCACTGATCAAACGCTTTCAACATCTGCTAGATGTTCAGGCTGAACAAAACACCTACATGTTTCATTACTTACTGATGAGCAGACACCTTTCTCGCACTAAAAGGAAGTTGATAGTTTCCTTTTTTTTCTTGAAAAACGTAACGAATATCAGGAATCACAATTGACCTGATTGCAATCCTTTTGGAAGGTAGCAAATCTCCCTCCAGTAAAGATGAATCGGTCATCGATTGTTTGTAATGAAAGCTTGGGAATGGCTTAGTACGGCTGCCATGAGACTCCAGGGTAAGTGAATTTTGCCCAACTGACAAATTACCAGTTTCGCTGGGAATTACTGTATATGGCTATTTCTCATAAGAAAAGGGCCATTTAATGCATCCAAGATAATAAATAAGCTGGAAACCTTGATCAATTATGTTTAAAGATGTTTTCAAGACAATAAGTGTTTTCATGACAATAAAAAGTGTAACATAGTCAAGAGTCATAATGTTGCGTATGTTTTGTTCTTAACGACAGTTGCTTGTAAGATCTAAAACATAACTTAGTAGTCAAAGCGAAAAAAAGACCTAACAACTGGGATAATATGAAGAAAACTATTGCAGTGTATGTCACAGTAATCCTTGCCAACTAGTTACTTACTTTTCCATACAATGATATGATCCGCCGTTTTTCCATACAACTTGCTGTGTTGCGCTTATCAATACGGCAATACTGACTAGGGCTTCAATCACTCCAAGTACCGCTGTGCCTTGAACGATTTCTATTTCTATCATTATTATGAGACGTACTTTTCGTATATGCTACCAATTTTGACTAATTTTTGGATTTATGACAGCAAATAGTAGTAATGTGATAGTAGCCCTCAAAACAATTTACCGCCTCATCGTAGCTAGGAGGAGTCCCGTAGTGTCGAGCTGCGATGTACAACAGAGATTTATTAACCCAGCCCCCACCCCAGTAGTGCGGTCTCCTAAGATGAAGATGAGTCCGACATTTCCATCCGGAAACGCAGCTATGAGTAAACCATTATCAGAAATCATCACCGTCCTGGTATTAAATTAGTACCATGGTGGGAAATGTCTCTTTGATCCAAAGGCGTAGCAACTGCGTGGGGTGTTGACGACCTTGCGTAGACTTTGGCTATGCTGACTTCGATCCATGCAATCGGACAAAATCAGTGGAGAAAAGATTTAAAACAGAAAGGTGAAAAATGAAGAAATTTTTACAATTGGGGTAAAGACTAGCTCGATTACAAGATGCTTTCGTCTCAGATAGCCCAAAAAATAATACCTATTTTAATCATTTCTCCCAACGGTTTAGCGCCTCATTGTGGCTGGGAGGTCTTCCTGGGTGTCGGACTGCGATGTACAGCAGGGGATTCGTTCCCTCGGCAGGGTCTCTCAGTCCGAGAAGGAGTCCGGGGTTTCCATCACGAAGTCTAGCTAAGATAAACCAATACCAGGATCAAACACCGTCCTGGTAACAAAGTCGCATACTTTGGTCAGACTGTCCTCGGGATTTCAGAGAACCACAATGGCTTAATCAGCAAATCTCAGAAAGGTGGTCATTATGCTGGGGCCCGCACAAGTAGTGAGGACGGGCCGTTTAAGTATCAAGTAAGTAAGTATTTTAATGATTGGAAAATCGATGTATATATACATATGTGTATATATATGTATATATATGTGAAGCACAAACAGTGCAAAAAACTTACCGAATTTTATGTGACATACAGTACAACACGTTCGATATCGATCCTTATCGGCATCAAGGGATTCCATCTTTTGTATCATCTGAAAGAGTAACGTGACGATTAAAACAAAGTATAATTAAGAGAAAACTGTTACTTAGATAGCTATTGATTTTAAATGGAAAGAACATAACTAGAATGCAGTGCTTTACTGATTTATTGGTTACGGTATCCAAATGCACAAGCATCATTGGAAGGAAGGAAACAGATCAGAAAGAAGTTTCATCATATAATCCGTTGAGTGTTTCACCTAGTTGAAAATCATAAAGAAAGAATCCAATAGCAGATATCTACGTAAAAGTAACCGGACAATTTCCATCTCTACTTTCTTAATCACTGGTAGGTTTTCGTAGTGGCCTTATAATAGTTGATGTTTTACAATATTCGAATTTTGCTTTGGCATTTTTAGCTTATTCTTTTTACCAAAGGGCATGTGGCGCAGTGGTCACAGACGCCCTGCAACGCACACATTGGATCTATCCCTGCGCCCCTGGCAATCCCTCCATCCCTCTGGGACTGGCAAACTGATACCAAACTTGTCTGGGAGAATAGCAGCACTGGCTCGATACATCGGTGGGCCACCACTAGTTGTTGTAATGGGCAGATATGCATTCAATCACCGACAATGCCTTTTACCAGTAAGATAAACATTTTTCCAACTGAGGGGAATCGAAGTCCATTGTTAGAATGAAAATCATGTCAGGTGAAAATACTACTTTTCATCCTTTCTGCTTTAAAAAGACTTTTTCTCAACAACGCGTTAAATTTATAGAAAACCAAAGGAGTTGCTACCATTATGTTACCGTATCGCTTTCCAAATACATCTTGTTCATAACGAAAACGTTATTACAGCGATGATTACCAGTTTATAAATCTTTGTTCAAGTCTTATTTTACGTGCTTTCTTGATGTTGAGAGCAAAGTGATATTTGAGAGCTCGGTAACTGACAAAGTCTTATTGCTAGCCGAATGTGAAGGATTCAGAGAAGGCAAATTTTCGCTGAGTTAGAATTCAAGCAATAACTAGGCGGCCTGATGAACTTCTCCTAAGAAGTTTCCGGATTGGCTCTAATATTATCTAGTCATTAGGTTAGAAAACCACATCACATGAACAACAATAGTTGATTTTATTCATCTTTCAATTTTAACAGAAATTAATAACTGAAGGGTCGTATTGATCGCTAACTGAATTGAATCGATCAAATGACGGAGCGATTGATTTCATTTCAAACCAGCAACGTATGACTTTCAATTAAAAGCTCTGACCAGCATGAAATTCCTATCTAGAAACGATTTGAGTTTTTTGGTGACCATGGTGTTGTTCTACTGGAGACCTGTAGCCGTAGCCTGCTTATCAGTTGAATTCTAATAACATTGAAATGCTTTCATACGGTAATAGGCTTGATTTGCTTGACAACTCATGAATATATTGAATTAGCCGTCTTAAGAAGATGAGTAGCGCCTTTCAGAAGGATATCATTGATTCGACTGGATATTCAACTCTACCGATTTTCCATATTCCATAAAAATATTTCCAAGGGCAAAAGAAGAGGTCAAACCAATGATAATACTAATAATAGTAACACATGGTAATTTGGTAAAAAGTTGCTGGTTTTGAACAGAAGGTTTATGGGTTCAGAGATTCCACAATATCGTTATGTTGATAGTGATGGTGGTGAGACAAGGAGCATATGACACAACGAAGCAGGTGGTACGCCGTTAGAAAACGTTTGAGTATGAAGATAGAAAGAGTAAGAGAGAGATAGAGAAGAAATGAGGGATAGAGGAAAAAGTAGAGCGGAAGAGAAGCAGAAAAGGAAGCGTGATTCTGGAAACAGTGGAAAGACAATGAGGAGGACAAGAAGGTAATAAAGAAAAACGACAAGAGGTTAAATAGAAGCCGATATTGTAGAAGTAAGCACTTCATGAATGCGAAGAAAATGAAGTATGGAAGAATCAGACCAAGAGAATTTTAAGATGAAGTTCGCGAAATGACAAATATTATAAGTATACTATAAAAAAAAGATAACAACAGAAGTGTCAAATGACAATGAACAGCTGTGATGAAGTCAACTGCAAGTACATGTAAAAGGATAAGTGATAAAGCTTTCGGCGTTAATCAATCCCTGAGGGATGCGCCATGCATTCTACTAAATAAACGCACCTCGTTTGCTAGTATCGATACCGGTTTATTTCAAACTTTTCCACCTAAATGGTCCATTTTTTGCTAACATTACCATTAGTGAAAAGGTTTGGTTCTCTGTCATATCCGTTACAGTATTTCAACCTTACAGTTCTTTCGTGGCTACCATAGACTTAATCGAGAAAATTATGAGACTCTTTGTGTTCCTCAAGCGAATGTAACCCATTGGGCAACGCTGATTGGCCATAACGACAAGTTTCATTATTTTCGCTTTTTTTTGTTGTTTTAAGTGGATACTTTGTTGAGCTGGATTTTCCAAAATGTTCTGCCTGTTCTTAAGCCATTTAAACCTCGATTATCTATTTTATCCGATAAACGAAGGCAAGGAATGGATTACCGGTTTATGTAACTGATTGATTTGAACACACGTCCAATAATTCGAATGGGGAGAATGATTGCGATTGACCCGGCTTGTTGTAAATCAAAAGGTTGCAGAGGAACAAGTCAAGCAATCAAGCAACTTTAGAGATTAGGATTATCTTAAAAAGTTGGAAAAGATTTATAGCCTTCAGACTAAGTAAATAGTTCTTGGCCGAATATGTTCTTGGGGCCTCTAGAAACTAAAGTAAGGGGGGAAAAGTCCATAGTATTATTCGGCTATGATATGGTGCCGTTGCCATTAGGTAATATTTGCACACGGTTATGCAAAATGGTTAACATTTTATTTAGTATCCATTATTTTTTCACGATTAAGTGCAGTGCAACCGAAATGGTAGTGAGATATTTACAAAACTCGAACGGAAGGCCAGATTTGAAGCAGCGATTACCATTGCCGGAGGCTTATGTGTTCCGCACTGCACCATTGAGGCCCTTGGTTCTTCTTCCCTCTCAGTGTTTTCAACTACAGCATCAGCTTACGTATTAGCGCTGATGGCACACTTGCGGTAAAAAAAACTGGTGTAGTGAAAGGCAAAGAGAGAGCCTCGGTGGTCCAGTGGCTAACACGTGGGCTCCCGGAAAGGGTAGTCGTGAGTTCGAACTTGGTTATTGGTCCAACTTTCGCAAATATCGCATCGTCCATAACAATGCTGAGATATTTACACAACTCCGGACCGCAGGTGTCTGCGGTAAGGAACGAATGCGTTGCTACTCTTTCAGCGATTGCTGGTGGCACTATTAGATAGAAAACTGGCTGAGAGACAGGCAAAGCGAAGGACACGCATGGTGTGGTGATGAATGCTTTAGGTTCCTGAAAGGGTAGTAGTTTGTTCGATCCCCACTGCAGATGCCTGCCGTCCGGAGCTTTGCAAATATCTCAGCATCATTATCGCTGTATTTCACATAACACCCTGCAGTGAAAACTGGTAGTAGGCAGCAAATAAAAGGCTAGAATTTGTTATATCGCAGCATCATTGTGATAAACGAAAAGTTCGATGCACTCCTGTGAACTTTTGTTTTTCTAGACATCTTCCAAACTCTGAAACTTTTGACCAGAGAACCTTTGAATTCCTAAAGTTTTCTAGCAAGATGTATTTATCATAGTGCAATAGGACTAAATTTATATCCGTTTGCATTCTTAACCTTAGATGAGATTGTAGTTTGTTCTATTATTACATGATCAAAGACCGCATGTATCACTCTGTGCGGGTCCCAGCACTTGCACTCGATTCGGTTTCTCATATTCACCATTCATGAAGATTTCCCAACTTTCCGTGTTTGGCTTCGGTTACAGTTTGGGGAATTTACGTCTTCATCACAAATATCGTTGACTGTTAGTCGAGGAGATTCTCCCTGAAGTCCTCAGATATTTGTGTTGGAGCATTCCTGAAAGAATGGAAAGATTGTTGTGTCGAAGGCGGAGTAGAACTAGTATCTAGCTTCGTTGAGCCTTCAACATAGTAAACGGGATCATTACCACTTCTCTACCAGTTTCACGTGAAGTTATTAAAAAACTTTATGATGGCTAACGTTTTGGTGGTCTAGTCTTCTTCACAACCGCAATGATCTAAGTCGGTCTTCCACATCAGTTGCTTCTTCTTGCCATGTTAGTCGTCGTAACATCGAGTTGAACAGAGTACAGTGGACCACAGCTCGAATAGCTTGAATTTAATCAGTGGTTTCAGTAATATAGATTGTTAACGATTTCAGCCCCTCTGGCCTCTTACAGAACAGGGCTACGCTGTTACAATAGCTTCTCTAGTTAATTGTTACAGAAAGCGTTCACTGCTTTTTTAGCTTTCTCTCTGGAAACTATTTTAGCAAAGTCAATAAGAGGTAGAGTGTTTGCACTGACTTATCCCTTAGCGGCCTCTATTCCACTCCATTCACTTTTGCATCGTAAGGGTAATTAAATACATATCTGGTCTGTATGGCGGTTTGAAGTAACCTACCCATATACAAATTCAGTGTTTTCTTTGCTTTCAAAAAAGTACGGTTCCAATTTATCGAGCCCAGATTGGCTGAGGGATTGCTTCGTTCGAAGCGCTGCTTTGCTTTTTGCTTAGCGACGATGGCAAGTTATCATAAATTAGACTAATATCGGCGAAAAGGTTTGAAATGTTATTTCGAGTGAATGCATCTTCTATCAGATCCATAACAACCGACTGGAGTGCGGTTTGTTGTCTCGCCAAATTCGGACCAACTTCAGAATTCTTCCTGAACACTTCCAGGAGGATTTTTGTTTTCATTTCATTCTGAATTTTTCCGAAACGGTTGAAACACTTTTGTAATAGATTTGCTTCGTGCAGGGTTGCCAGTTGACAAAATCGAATTTCTTCTCAATTTGAATGAGCCCTGCGAGGGATGATAACACCTAGAAACACCTTATTGCCATGGTGAGGAAGTTTTTATCTTAAAATAAATTTTTATTACAGCAAATGTTGTTGGTGAGTCGGAAAACTCATCAACCGTCAACCTGAAGCAAGACCGAATTCGTTCATTGTTAAGGGGTTTAAAACAAAAAGAAAAGTAGTTACACTAATGTCTGCTTTCCTCTTCGAATATGCCAAGAAGTAAATTCTCACTGACGTTTTTCTGAACCTTGAACAGTTTTCTTCGCGAAAGTCACAAATTCACCTCATATTTCTTGGAGCATCTTTGTGTTTCTCTCTTTTGCTCAAAAATAATCCATCATGATCGATAGCTATCGCTCTTTCTTTGCAAAGACCCTTCCGTGCGCCGTTTCTCATAACTTCAGCGAGTTAGTAAATCAGTTTATCATCTTCTACCCTTTCCTCTTCGTTTCTTCTCATTGCTTCCTTTGTTACATTCTCGTTTTTCTTAGTTCATCCATTTCTGCCACACGTATGTCTAAATCGATGCTATTTTCGTTCATTTGCAAAACTTTTTGCATTTTTTTTCATTCATTTTTGCATTTTGCAGATAAATCTAACTACCCAGTGGTCGTGATACTGTACGCAACTTCTGAAGCAGTACAGTTAACACACATTCTAAAGACGTTAAACGGGCACATAGAAAAAATAAATATGCAGATGACCAAGGTTTCATACAGATAGAGAATAGAGCTTACAAATGGATAAAATTCTGTGCTTTTATCAATACTTAGGGAATACGTCGTGTATCCAACCCTATTCATAGAATCCTGGACGTTACCGAATGTACAGCGAGCGTACACTCACGGTAACTCACGGCGGACTACTCATCAAGTCTGCGTTCATTCCATTGTTTTTGTTTTTGTTCTATTTTCTCCGAGTTTCATATCTAATGCGACTGAAAATTAAGTATAGTGATTTCTTCTGTTGAGGTTACTGTGGTGCTTGGCTAACTAAACTGCAGTCAATTTAACTTTTTCAGCTCTGAAGAAGGCGAAATTCGCCAAGGCGTCAGCTGTTTGGAATAAATAATGTATAACGACCACCTCGTGTGTGCTAATGAAGAAAATAACGAGTTGTTCACCAATGTTGAGATTCTTAGAAAGTTGGTCTTGGGAACTATTTCTTTATCCTCTCAGCCAATTCTGCTACCAGTTTTTCTCCAGAATGATGGAAAATTTTGAGTCCGGAATGCCGGATCCAATCAGGGCCGATGTAGTTCCGAAGCGCCTCTAGTCATTTCATTAAACGAGGCTCGATTCCAAACAAGTAACAAGAAAACCACTGAAAACGTGAAGCAAACATGCACCCGGTAAGGGTAATCGTGGGTTCGAAGCTAATCTGAAGTTCCGATTTTGCTCCTGTTTTAGCATCCTGAGGACTGTGCTTCATATCGTACGCATTGACGAAGAAGGAGAATAGGCAGCGAATAAAAGTTAAGATCTCCTGAGTATTTAATCGCTCCATCGATCATACAAGGTTTCCGGTGGGGTCATATTAGTAATTCGTTTGGATTATTTACTGTAAATACCAAACACACAGAAGATTCATTAATGGTGAGAACAACTAGAAGCCTATCGAGATCAAATTAGGTTTTTGCTGAAGTACTTTAAGAAAATTTAAGCAAACATTTATCAAGCAATGCTTACTACGTTTCAATACAAAAAGCGAAATGAAAATCAATTCCACACATCATCGCTTCTTACTCAAGTAACCATTCAATCCAATCGTCACTAGGGTTTCTGAAAACAGTAGACCTTTAAATTATTATCAGATTACCCTAATTAATTTCAAAAATGCTCATTGTCTACCCACGAAGAGAGCCGGAATAGCCGGAAATATTGCCTAATAAAAGAGTTCAAATCGAAAGCAAAGTCGAAATCGAAAGTCAAATCGAAAGTCATAAGAAGGCTAAAATATGAAAGATATTTCTAGAATGACGAGAAAATCCAAAGAAGACCCTACTTTTCGATATCCTCAATGGTGATCGTGATTCCTCTCTCGAATAGCTCTAGAAATTGGATGGCGGTTGGCATCGTGCCAGCATTCGCCACCGCCACAACCACATCGTCTCTTAATTGGCCCATGAATAGTTGTAATCTTATTTATCGATTAATTTTAGGTCTGGAATTTAAAGACAAATAGGCGCATCGATGAAACAGTAAGTGAAACTACATGGGATGTATTCTCTTGGATGAGTAAGCCAACACGGAGCTGCTAGAAACTACTGTAAAAATATACGATCGCTGTAAAAACTAATACAAAAGGTACATACAAAAATAATACAAAAATAAAGAAAAGTGGAAAAGATAAGCGCTTGAAACAACAACCCGTTTTATCGATTGGTGCCTCAAGGTACTTTAGACATATACTTACTTTAAGCATCAGAAGAAGCAACGACTTGAAATATGGAACTGACGAAAATCGTCTCAAACTTGGATAGTTAAATTATTAGTTAATTAATTAATAATTGTTGCTAATTATTAGACATATACGTAGCTATGTATCCTGTACACTTACTTTAAGTAGTACTTGACGAAGTCCAGATCGTCGACAAAACCGTGAACGATCGTCTTTGACGCTCCAATTGCACAACCTTAATGAAAAAATTTGACAAAAAAAGAACATTGACCACTCTGTGCCCGTATAGAATAACACCTAGGTGAACTTAAAGATAAATCAAGTACACCACCAGTCCACGCATAGGACCTAGAGACATAACGGTGAAGATTTTAAAGTACAAGTGACGATCCTCGCACAGGAGTCGGAAACATAAGCGCGCAAAATTTTCGTGGCATTCTGGGTAAATCCCAAGAATCAGAAAATGAACCACAGCGAGGAATGACTTACAATCACGCGTAGTATTGGGCAGTATTTAAGGCTACTGTTTTGATTCGAGGGGCACATTAGGCTTTCGTGTAAACTCTGTGGGGCTGGTCTGCACGTGACATATTCAATGGAAGACTCATAGAAGGCGGCGAGTGCGCGATGAGGCTATTTTGTGTTCAATGTAATTGAAATCTTGGTTTAACATTTTCTCTGTTTGGTTGTGGTGTTTAGGTACGTAGGTTGCAGTCAACTTAATCTTTCCAGCCTCTGAAGAAGGCGAAATCAGCCGAAACGTCAGCTTGTTCGTGAATAAAGAATAAAATAACACCTCGTGCTTGCTCAAGAAGAATATAGAGAACATGGACTAGTGTCTAAATACACTTCACCAGCAATATCACTAATAAATGATTGCGTTATTGATTTGAGATATTGATTGATGATAAGATTTGATAGGCACAGGGACGAATGGAACCTTCACTGTTCCTCAGTGAAGTCAACTGATGAACAGCAGGATCATAGATGATAGCAGCAATTTATAACAGTCATTAGGTATATAAGCCGTATTTAATAATTCACTATATTCCGGAAGAGCAAACGCTAGGTGTTACTTCATATTTTACAGACGGCAAAGCTGAAGCTTTGGTGGATTTCGGCCTCTTCAGAGCCTGGAGGGGTCAGATTGTCTGCAATCTACTGATCCAAACACCTCCATAATCAAACACAGAATATACCAAATTCAGAGTATAGCAAAGATCAAATTAAACCAAAGTAGCAAAACCAAAATACCACACCAACAAAATAGCTTTTTTGCATATTCCCGGCTTTTTATGAGTCTAATAATAAGTATTTAACGTCGAGATCAAGCACATAGTGTTTACATGGAAGCGTAATGAGCCTCTCTCACATTAAAATATCTGTCTTAAATACTCTGTAAGATTACGCATGATAAACAAGGCATTCCTCCCTGCGGTTCATTCTCAGTTTCCTGGAATTATCCAGAATGCTTCGAGAGTTTCGTGCACCGAAGTTTATCCATCCTTGTCCGAGGATGATAACTTCCAATACTTCAAAATCTTCCCCGTTATGTCTCTGTGCCTGTGAGTAGCTAAGAAGGCATTTCGTTTTCAATACGTTTTAAATCTTCGTTTAATGATTTCTCTGTTTGGTTGTGGAGGTGTTTAGATGTGTAGATTGCAGTCAACTTGATCTTTCCAGACTCTGAACAAGGCGAAATCAGCCTGTACGTCAGCTTTTGTGTTAATAAAGAATAAAGTGACACCTGAAGATTGCTCATCAAGAATGTCGGTCTTGGGAATTACTGCGAAATGTACTGTATTTGCACTGTTTTCTCTGTTCGCGAACAAGTTTAAACAAAGGTTTATCAACATCTAACTGATTATTTGGCATTTCTCACTTTCCACATCGCAGCTCAAATACAGCTTGCCAGTTTCCAGATTCCTTAAGTTTCCCATCATAAAGTGGCGGTGGTTAAATAACTACTAGGGAAAGTCTACTTCCATCATAATTTCTTGCTCTGAACAAAAAAATCTGAAACATACCTGCGAATCTAACGCCAAACTCGAAAAACAACACCGTCCAGAAAAACGGCACTACCGGATGCGGAAACGGTCGGCCGACAATCGAGTAGCCGAGTAGCTGCCCTGAAAGAGCTCGAATATTAGATAAATTGAACCGAAAAAATGTGACCATTATGGCTCATAAGGCTCAAACCATGTGTCTGAGCGGTCTGGAAGTGCTGAATATTGATGGAATCGATATCCCATAAGGGTAACGGTGCACTGACGACGTCACCGATGGCATAAACCCAGTCGGCAGTCGTCTATAAAACACTAGTATTGTCACTTATTGCTTTAAATCTTGTCTTTATTAGCTTAGTTTATTTTTTTTTTGTTTACACGATAGAACTTCACATAATGGGCAAATCCCAATACTTCCACTCCGTTCGCTGTCTCATATCTCTCATCCACGAAATTTTTTGGATTTCTGTGTGGATTCGGATGCCACATGAGGACTCTGCCTTCTTCATATTTATCATTGAATGTTGATGATAAATGAGATTCTTTCTGGAATCCCAAGATAGATCTACTACAGATGTCACCAAGTCATCACCACGGGCGATCGTCAGCCTTTGTAGATCTGATGGAGCTATTCGCAAATAGGTCTGACATCAATTTACCGAGCATGAGAGGTAGGAGATTCTATTGGTCAAGAGTGGGCGGGTTATCGCTAGAGACCATATACTGTATTGCATGCATGACCACTGCACTTTTTGTGGTCCATTTTTCCTGATTTGTGCGTTTGTTCAACTTTCATTCTCATTCTACAACAACTCTGCTAGACCTCTAGATGATTCCACACTTTTATAGCTTGTTTTCACTACAGAAGTAATCGCTCAAAACATTTATTAGTTCAGGAATTTGTTTCATCTCTAGCCAAAATGTATCGATGAGGTTAGCGAGTAAATTTGTCGAATACCAACGACGATTTCAGGTGAGTTCAGAGCTTAACGTCGTACAATTTTACATCAGAACAAAATTTTTGTTGCTCGGACAACTAAATTCACTTATTTATCGTATTTCTACCCATTAATTTTTTTGTACAAAAAGTATGATATCCAATCCTACCCTAAAAAGTCGATCCACTTTGATAAACCCTCGCTCGTCCATCTCTATGGAGGTGTTTTTTAGCCATTCCGTCGGTGGTTCAACTCCTGAATGGCAGCAAATATTGCAAATATTGATCTTTAATGATTTGATTAAAATATTAAATTTCGTTAAGTTTAGAAGCAATATTAAGTAATAAAATAAGCCATACACATTCTATAAGGTACAAAATAACTATCACTATCCTCTATGTGATTCGATGTAAATATTCCAAAGATCCTGTTTCTATTAAGGTGTAACATCGACTTTTTCTTGCTAGAAATATCGCTTTCTTGTAGAAATTATCTATGGAAAAAATTATTTTGACTGGAGAAAATTCAATAGTCTACCGATTCCAACCACTACCACATCGGCTCGAAGTGCTATTCCGGATTTCAGGATAACACTAGACACTGTAACATCGCCTTCAAGTTGCTCAACAGAATCGTTCACAATGACTTGTATTCCTTTCGCTTCGAATCGCTAAAGAAGAAAAACCAATTCAATAGTGAACTATTTTGGAGCAATAACATTGACACTTTGTTTTTTCACAGCTATTTAAAGTATGAGACCTCCAACGTTAACCAATTCTTTGGGCATGCGCCATGCATTCTGTTCCATTCGTAGCATTTTGTTTGAGATGGTTGACTGCGAGGTTATACAAAAACACAAATTATATAGCAAGGCCTATAGAATAATTTTTAATGGCCTATGCATGTTCCCAACCAGTGTTCTTATTCTTCTAGACGAGTTTTTTTTTCGGTACCAAAACGATGGGAGGTTTAGTTCGATCTGAGCCAGGTCGACTTAATGACCACATGTATACTATACGGCACATTTAACAACTGCGCTAAATGCACTTCAATTTCCTAATGACAACTGATGATAGTGCAATAATTAATACTTACATGTCTAATAACCCTGCCGATGTCTGGGCCGAAGGCCGGCAACGGTTCTTCGGTTGCACACACGACAGTGACAGAAGCCGCTGTAAGGAGAAGCGATGACGCTATCTCCATTCCTGGAAAAACTTTTACTCACCTATAGCCCATAAATTCGCATGTTTTTAAATTTTCGCAATGAAATTCGCCGTTTGCTTCCCTGAAAAGTCCCCTAAAAGCATTCGTTTCAAAAAATCACTAATGCATATTTTACTTTTATTAATTGCTATCCATTCAACCCTTAGCAGTTCGTTTCAAACGTTGGTGAAAAAATGTAGAAATAGATAAATAGGCGAATCACTCACCTATGAAGGATCCACCAATGCAAACAACATGTTTTCCAATAGAAGCTTCGGCTATGGCGTTAGCTTCATCAACGACTCGTAGAGTGTAGACATTCTGCAGGTATTTTTGTTCTTTTTCTATCTATTAGAAAAAAAGTACTTTTTACATCAAATATTTTTAAAAACTGCTCAAACCAATATTCCAAATGGTTCCTTCACTTAGAGAACGATCCAACTTCTTTGCAATAGGAGTGGACACCTCCGCCCTTACACCATTTTCCCAAGTCAAAGATAACCGGTTAGTTTTTTTCCAAAAAACAGTCTGGTGTACACACTCTACTCCTAGAGATGGACAAGCTTTTCAGTTTTTGAAATCCTTCCAGAGTGCTCAAATTTTTTTACCAGAAAAAGATGTACCGAAAGAAAAGGTAGTAAATATGACTGTGATGATACCTAGAATGAAAAAAGCTATGTTAATCAATAACAGGCTTTACGAGTGCTGATCAACAAATCAATACAAATACATATGCAAAGTAAGTGACTTATAAGCATACATACCCTCAGATTTCCGCCAGGTATAGTTAGTTCTCTTGCTGCACATCCAAGGGCCAACACCAACTTAGAGTATTTCATTGATTCACCGCTTGACAAATACACCAAACGGTGAGCCACATCGACGTCAACTACCTATAAATATCACTAGATAAAAATATTTGTACTTCCACAACGTTGCTGAGATATTTGCAAAACTCTGGACCGCAGGTGTCCTCTGGTGGGAAACGAACACGCTTTCGTCCTTTCCGGCAAGTAACGCGTTCACCATCACACCATGCTAGTCAATCCCGCTGACGGGTGATTGCTGTGGCAAAGATCGATAGAAATAGCTGAGAGACAGGCAAAACAAAGGACCCGCATGGTGTGGTGGTGAACCAGTAAGGACAACAGCGCGTGTTCGTTCTCCACTGCATACACCTGTGGTCCGGAGTTTTGCAAATATCTCAGCATTTCATACGAGTTATATCTCAGCAACGTTGTGGTTGTATTTCGCTTAGTACCCTACCGCGAGATTATAGTAGGCAGAAAGTAAAAAAGGTATATTTGTACTTCATTTTTAACACATAGCTGCCTTCCTTCTAAAAATTTGACTTCTTTTCTAAATCCCAAGACTATTCGTTACGTAGATTCTAGCACTATTTCATTCTATTCGTTGCTTGCATCCATCGTCCACGAAGGCCTTCAGATTTCCACGCGGGTTCGGATACTGTATGAGAATTTCCGTCTTTTTTTTTAATGCTGCGGAATCTTAGTCGAGTCGATTTTCACTGGAACCATGCGATAGTTGTATTAGGACTTCCTCGGTCTTATAGATCAAAAAAACATTCTCAAATAAGTCTGGTTCCAATTACCAGATTCCAGAGTAGCGGCAGGGTTTGTGGACTCAGAGCGGGTTCGAGCAGGCGACGTAAAAACGTAATAGATAGGTAAATAAATATAAATATAAATATAAAATAAATAGATAAATAGCTGAGTAAAAAGGAAAAGAAAGGCAGAATGATCTGGAAAGACCTTTTCGTGATAAGAAGGGATAACTAAGATTGTTTGAAATACAAATAATATAATATGTTCCAAGTTGTGCTTTACAGTTTATTATGTTTTAAAATGTCAAAAATTAAAAATCGAGGATGTAAGACCACTTAGGCAATATGGCCCTGGAAAAACCTTTGTGTTCATTAAATTCATTAAATTTACCCGAGTATTTGTTATAATACTGATGTGATTCTTTTCATAGTAGTCGTTGCTTCGAAGTCGAATTTCTTCTCCAATGACAGCTGGTCTCTGAAAGCAGAACCGATGTTTTACTTGTTGCAGAGACGGTACCCGTTTCGCTTGTTTGACATCTCAACATTCAAAAATGTCTAGTGATTCATGAAGTTGAGAGAAAACTACAAATAGCTATGATGTTTTCCCTATCTTTCCAGTGGATTTTAGTCTAATCGTGAAGAAAAACTATTCTTGAGTGTCGAGTTCCAATCAGGTAAACAGCAGGGGTTTAGCAACTGGCAAAGCAATTCCAACTCAGAAACAATTCAACATTTAGGTGTGAAAACTGCTCTAGACGTAAACCTACGACAGCCATCGCCTAGTAAAAAGAAGGAGTAAGAGCACAGCAAAACAAAGATCCGATTGAACTTGACAAGACGACTGGCTATAGTGCAGACCAGGTAAGAGCATCACGCTAGTTTCTGCGGACTACAGGAAAAACATAACCTACAAAGGAACTACGGCTTCACCATTTACTTCTATCCATGTTCATTGTCCTTTAGACTTGCGCCGAATTGTGTTCAACAGAATTCTGTTGACAGGAACAACACTAGTTCCTGGAGTAACGGCCACGACCGACTTTCTATTAACCTCGGCATTGATCAAGTGATTTTGTTCGTATTTTTTGAGCAAACGCGAGGTGTTATTGTTCTTTCTTAACGATTAAGCTGACGTTTCGGCGAATTTCGCCTTCTTCAGAGCCTGGAAAGGTCAAGTTGATAGCAACTCACTCGGCCAGACGCCTCCATAACCAAACAAAGAAACCCCAAACCAAGATTTCAATCGCTTTGAACACAGCTTTGCACACTCACCGCTTTCTATGAGGTCTCCACTAAGTATGTCACGTAGAGACCAACCGCACAGAAATCACGTGGAAGTATAATGTGCCCCTCACATCAGAAAAGCAGTTTTATATACTGCCCTATATCACGCGTGATAATGAGGCGTTCTTCCCTGCCGTTCATTTTCGGATTTCTGGAATTAATCCAGAGTGCCTCGAGGGTTTCGAAACCAAAAACGTGACATACCTAGTGGAGACCTCATAGAAAGCGGTGAGTGTGCAAAGCTGTGTTCAAAGCGATTGAAATCTTGGTTTGGGGTTTCTTTGTTTGGTTATGGAGGCGTCTGGCCGAGTGAGTTGCTATCAACTTGACCTTTCCAGGCTCTGAAGAAGGCGAAATTCGCCGAAACAGCTTAATCGTTAAGAAAGAACAATAACACCTCGCGTTTGCTCAAAAATACGAACAAAATCACTAGTTCCTGGGTTTCTCAGTCCTTTAAAGTTTTTAATTTCCCATCTTATCTTTCACTGCTTTTTCATCTAATTTCTTCTTTCCACCCATTTTCGTTATTGCATCAAATTAGAAATGATGCTGTTTTTTTTTAAAGGATTCGTTGTAGAAAGTTGCCAGAATGTGATGAAAGGTCCACAGCGATCGACCTATTAAGGTTGTAATTAAGGTTATATCTCCCAACGGTTTATCTCCTCATCGTGGCTAGGTGTACCTGGGTGTCAGGCTACGATGTACAGTGGGCGATTCATCCAACAAGCAAGGTCTCCCGAGTTGAGGTGCGCGGCACCTCAATCAGAAAACCTAGCTAAGAGTAAACCAGTACCAGGATCCGTCACCGTCCTGGCACCGAACAAGTCGCATGGTCGCTTGATCAACAAGGACGATAACTGCCTGTGTAGGTTACGACCTGAAGCAGACTTTGGCCTGGCTGACCTCAGGACTCCAGGGTACCACAAGGTCAGTTATGCAAGGCCACATCCAGTCATTCTCCACTGTAGGTATACTGTGTACTTCGTTGGAGCTAAGAGAGAAGATTTTTATTGGAACTATCAATGTAAGAATCTTCGTTAAATGCAAAGTGCATACTAGTTCCACAACGTTTCTAAGGAAGTGCTAGAACTTTGTTAGACCGCGCAAATTCCCGACGTCCTTAAGGTTCTGGTTAGTGGGGATTCAGTGGCTTGCATGAAAAGCCTGAACACGAATTTTTTCGTTTCTCCTTATAGCCTTATATTTTCTTCACCTAGCATCTTAAGTACACATAAGATGTGGCCTATTCCATTACGATTTAAGCAACCCGTCACGACTCAGTTTCTTTTGTACCACGAATTTTCCTTCAATTGGCTCTTCTTGAAGTTTACGTCATTCATATATAACCTCTACTTCCTTGAAATTTCTTGAAATCGTGAGAATTTGGTCATAATGTGATGGTGAAGTAAAAGTTAACTTCGAAAAGTAATTAAAAAGAATAAGCTCATGGCAAGGGTTACCCAGCAGAACAAAAGTAAAACTGTAAGAGGATAGACGATTAAGACTTCAAGCTAAACTTTGACAACTCGATTTAGCATTGCTATCTCGTCACACAACGGATCTCCCTCATATGAGGGATCTCGGACTGGTTAGCCGCGACGCTACGTGGTGCAACCCCAGGTGGTGGATAGGGGCTTAATTGCGGACCAAAAGCGACCTTTGCTTTCCTGAGACGCAGGTGGATCCAGAGGATGGACTCCCTGTTTCTGCCGCGCCGATTTGCACATACTTTCCGCATTTGCAAGGCGTATTCATGTATGCGTGTGTGGGTGCGTTCTCGCTTATGCGGAATGTATTCTGCGACTCAGTTCGGCCAAAAGCCTGAAATCAAGTGACAGGGAAGTACATGGGAGACAGTTAGGAGTCGTCTCCAACAAATAAGCTCCATGTCCACTCTGGGAGATCCTGGCAAGCTACCCGTAAGTATAGCTAACCACCACGTCCAGAGCCTAGCAAACTATACGTGGGTATCAAAATGCTAAACACTGTAAAAGAAACAGACCTCGTTCCCCTGACCACGAAGGAGGCCCCAATTCGGCAGTTTTGAGTAGGACGAGTACGAACAGACTGCTAAAACTTCAGCGCCAATGGAAGCTGATTGCATTAACAAAGAACTATGGTGACAATTTGTAGCTACAATGCACGTACACTTGCAACCGAGTCTTCGATAGAAGACTTTTCCGTGCGTGCAAGAAGGATAAGGTACGACGTCATCGGCGTGGCCGAGACGAGACGATGCCAGCCTTTCAACGCCGTCTATGACACCGGAGAAGAACTGTTCTTCGTAGCATGCGAAAGTATAGGAGTCGGCGGAGTGGGCGTTCTCGTCGACACGAATTTCTCCTTGAAAATTGATTCATTCGAACAACTAGCAATCCAAATCGGACGTTTACGATTAAAAACATGTGGATCAATACCGGCTTTGACAATCATCGTCGTTTATGCGTGACATCAAACTATGACGAAGTAGAAGTCGAAGTGTTTTATATGGAACTGGAGAAGTTCTACAGAGAAGACCATATATTCTTCAAGGACATCGCTGGTGATTTCAACGCCATGATTGCAACAAGAAGAACGTCTGAAGAATGTCACATTGAGACCCACGAATTAAAATGGAACGAGCAGGGTCAGGGGCCATCTGAGTTTATCATGACGACCAAGACCATCCATGGCAACTCGCAATTCCAGAAGCCCCACCTTCAGCGCTGGACATGGGAGTCTCCCAATGGAGAGTAAAATAACGAAATATACCACATCATAGTAAATAGGTTTTACCTAACCGATGTAACTGTTGTCCTAAAGTTCTACAAGGGATCAGACCATCGTCTATTTCGTGCAAGATTATATTTCTCGCGGAAAGGAGAAATAGCCGCTAAATTCCAAAACCAAGGCCCCAGAACCACCGCAGACTGGGACTTATTCAATTCATTAGTCGGCTGTTGGGAAGATGCCGTTGTCGACAACATCGACGAAGAATACGATCGGATCAATCAACAACTTCACGTTAGCGCTATGAAAGCTGAGTTCGAAAGTCACCAAGAGACGTTTGTCTCCAGAAACACTCCAGCTGATACGCCAGCGTGGAATCGCACGAGCTGCAAGCAATCGCGAATTAGCGCCCGAACTTGCAAAACAATGCAGACAGGTGATAAAAGATCTTAAAGAAAGAAGAGCAGGAGTACTGGTCGATGATGCAGAGGCTGGAAAAAGCATTCGCAAGACCCACCGAGGATTCGCCAATTACAAGACCAAGATGATTGCACTCCGACTGCCAGACGGAACAGTTACAGCGTCCAGAAAGGCAATGGAGAAAATCATTCACGAATACTACTCGGATCTCTTCAATTGCCACGTCCACTTTCTGTCATATGAAATAAAGGAGGATGGATATGTTGTACCACCAGTTCTCCCATCCGAAATCCGACATGCCATCTCGTCGGTGAAAAATCGAATAGAACCAGGTCCGGACAGGATAGAAGACTTCAGAAACCTTCCACCAGTCCTGGTAAGCACACTGGCCCAACTTCTCACACGTTATCTGTCCGGATGCAAGGTCGCTGCTCAGTGGAAGGCCAGGAAGGCCATGCTATTGTTCAAGAAAGTTGACCTCTATGATATCGGCAACTATCTCCCAATCTGCTTTCTGTCTGTCGTCTACAAACTTTTCACTCGAGTCATTAAACAGGATTGACAGAACACTGGATGAAGGGCAGCCATGTGAGCGAGCAGGGTTTCGAGAATGATTTAGTGCGAAGGACCACATCTACACGGTAACACGGGTCATTGAAGTATCTCGAGAATACAGAAGACCGCTCTGTCTCACTTTCATCGATTTACAGAAGGCCTTTGATTCAATTGAGATAGAAGCAATCATGCAAGCCCTTGATAGTCAAGGAGTCTCTATTCAGTACATAAAGATTGTCCGTGAGCTGTACAAAAAATTCATAAGGATATCACTATTCTACAACGATATTAACATTGACGTCAAAAGAGGGGTTGTGGAAGGCGACATCACTTCGCCAAAATTGCTCACTGGTACCCTCCAAAACGTCACGCGAACATTGGAATGCGACAATATTGGAGTGGAAATCGATGGTCGGCAGTTGCATCGTCTTCCCTGTGCTGATGACATCGTCCTCATAACACCAAACATTGGCCAAGCGGTGCGTATGCTTGCCGACTTTGATAAACCCTGTGGAAAGATTGGTCCTCGACTAAATCTCACAAAAACGATGTTCATGAAGAACGGATTGGTTTCATATGCTCCATTCACGCTCAACGGAACGAGTACCTCCGAATGCTTCAGTTATGTCTATCTAGGTCGGCCAATCAATATAATGAACGACTTAGCTCCATAGCTGAGCAGAAGGAAATAAGCGGCTTAGGGACTTTCAAAAGCGTCGAGGTTGTAGTGAAGAGAACAAAGAACACCCGACTCTGTCCCCACCTTTTCGACTCAACGGCACTTCCTGCCCTAACGTATGCGTCAGAAACCTGGTCGCTGCATAAGCAGGATGAAAGGACACTCAGCGTTGTCGAACGCACAGTCGAAAAGGCGATGCTAGGAGTATCGCGTTCCACACAAGTAAAGGATGGGATCCGAAGCTCCGATCTGCGTCAACGCTCAAAAATCGAAGATGCCGTTCTGTACGCCAAACGGTCGAAGATAAGGTGTGCCGTGCAAGTAATGCGTATGAATGACAACCGATGGACAAGAGCCATTAGTGACTGGATTTTTCGGGATGTTGAATGCATTGCAAGGAGACCACCCACCCGATGGTCAGAGTTTTTCACAAAGATCCTTGAAGAAAAATATGATGCTCGACGAGTCAGTAGAGCGAGCAGAATCCACTGGGCTACTCTTGCACGCGACAGGGAAAAATGAAACATTTACTGGGCGCCCGCTCGGGTCATTTGACAATCAGTGGGACTACAGGTGATACAGGTGATCTTAGCACAAACAAACTGGTACAGTCCACTGTATCCCTGATTTGTTTTATTCCATAGTTTTTAGCACAGTTTTTGATTACCTTACTAAGGAGAACTCGATCGTACGGTGGTAGGCGATCGTCTGTGATCATTGTGATAGGTGTTGAACAACCGTTGAGGCGGGCATGTTCAACAAATGATGCAGCACTAACTCCTTAAACATTTAACTAAAAAAAGCATAGCATTTAAAAACTTCTGACATATTTTGTTGGGTGCATTAACTTAAGGTGAGATAAGATCCATTGAATACTGGTTTACTCGCTTAAAAGCTCTCATTAAAACTAATGGAAACGGTAGGTGAATAGTAAGTCACTGTTAATTAATCTTTTCAGTTCGCAGGATCGACTTTCTATTAACTTCGGCATTGATATGTCGCTTTCTCTCTCAGCAATCGCGAGTATGTTATACAGCATACACTTACCTCCGTGCAAAAACAGTTGTACAACACAACAGTGGCTAACGTTTCGGCAGTGTTGCCTTCGTCAGAGCCGTTTTTAGGTGCCTTCCACTGGGGAAGAGGTGCTGATCAGAGTTACATTTGGTTGAGGACTGCCTGACTGGTCGACCGAAGAAGGCAATACTGCCAAAACGTCAGCTCCTGTTGTGTTGTATGCGTGTTTTTGTATGGAAGTAAACGTATACTGTACAACAACCTCGCGATTGCTGAAAAAGGAAATGACGCATTTATAATCCGTTTTAAATGTAAAGCATTCAAAGGGCACACGTCACCTAATCGATGTGAAAATAAAAAAGTCAACTGCATTTAAGCTATTTTACAACTGTATATTCAATTTAAGCCACTGATAACGGATGATAAGATACACACAATCCTTATAATACGAATATTTACTCTACCTCCACCGACAACAATAATGGGAACATCATCAGACACTGCAGTGACAGTGGGCTTCCGAGTTCGCCTCGTGTTCTCCAACTGTTTTTCAGTGGTATTCAGAATGAGGTCACCGTTGATATCTTCTACCTAAAACCTTTCACTTTTCGTGCTTAGGAGTAAAAGCGTTATAATCATATCACCATTTCTTGAAACTTTTGACATCTTCAATGTGGAAAATATCAACGACTTGGAAACGGATCAGCTTACGACCGAACCATCAGGCTGCGACGTTTGGTGTGGTACCATTTGGAGAAATTTACGATTTGTTAACTTTTAGTTATTGCCTACTACAATTTTTCATGGCAGGGTATTATGTGAGATACAACCACAATGATGCTGAGATATTTGCAAAACGTGTCTTCGGTGGGGATCGAACAAGGCACTACCCTTTCTGGAATCTAACGCTTTCACCACCACGCCATGATGGTACTTCATTTCGCCTTTGTCCCAGCTAGTTTTTTAGCTGCCAGGGCCATCAGTAATCATCCATTAACGGTATTGGTCTGGGAAGCACAAATGCTGAAAGCTGCCATGTGGACTCAACCGAATATCTTACACTTCACAACACTCTCGATTACCTCAGGAGACAAGTGAGAAAGACGATGAAAATAACATCTGTTTCCCATTCCAGCATTTTCTTACGTTACCCCATTCATCATAGGATGGCTCTACAATCACAATGATGAGTACTACTAAGCAGTCAAGAGATGAGAATGTTTTTCAACAATGCGTCAAAGTGATGAAATTAGTGATATCAGTTCTTCAAAACGATTACTCATTGGGGTTGTTTATTAGGTTCATGTGTCCTTTCTACGGTAAGATGAAGCTGTTATACATTACCGATTGACCGTGACTAACTTTCGGTTAGTATCTCCTTCAAAGTCGCATAACTACTCAAATCGTTGATGATTGTGACGGGGTATAAATCTATAGATCATAATAAAAGGTTAGAAGATAATGCGTTCGATGTTGATCAATTCATAGTGGATGCGCCGTGCATTCGACTTCATCAAGAATTGTCACTCACTTCAAGCGGTTGAACCTATAGCGGCCTTGTATCTGTATTTGCGCTGGTCCAACCCAGTCGAATCAAGTCCGTGCTGGAATCCTCCCAGGTAACTTTGGTGCCAATTTGCCGACCACGGAGGGATGGAAGTTTGACAAGCCCGGGCAACGAATCAGCAAGTGATCTACTGTGTATTGCAGAGAACCTCTAACTACTGCGTTACACGCGCCCTACAGATTATAATCTATTACAAAACTCAAGAATACTTACTTCGTAGGAAAACAAGCTGTCAAAACCAGGATAGTCTTCAATATCACCAGTTCTTACGTTGAAGCACGCACCGTGGAGTGGACAACGAATTCTACCTTTAGAGTAGATGCCTAAAAAGGACAGGATTTCCGATGTTTAACGAAAACTCCTGCTGTAATTATCCAAACTTAGGCAAAATGGTACCATAATACGTAGATACCTAAAGAGGTAGCAGTACACTTTTGTCTAGGTGACTTTTTCTCCGGAGTACTAGGTTTCGCTCTAGAAGGCGCCTCAAGGCGTCCTTAGATTGTCATCTCTGCGATTCGCTAACATTTAAGTATCATAGAGAGATTCAAAGGGATTTCTAGTAGGACGATTACATAGTTTGAAGCGTGGTCATGGTCTATTCAGTGGTTCTGAACGGAATTGAGTGCTTCTAAGTTTAAGAGAGTCTATCAAGAGAAAAGGTTACCCTTTTTACATCCACGAAGCCTTTCATCCCTTCGACGAGAAGTGGGTGTAAGGGAATAAAAATTAATAGCGATGGAAACCCGTAATATCTCTTCTTTTTTAACTATTAATATCTTTCATGTATTGGTTATTAAGTGTTTAATTATACACTGCGGAAGACAACTTTTTTTAGTTTTCTCTTCTTCAATATTATATATATATATAAATTAATATTTGCTTACTTGGATACTTGGACGGCACGCTCTCAATCGTTGTGCGGGTCCCAACACAATCTCCACTTTTTCGGAGCTTTGCTAGTTTAGCCATTGTGGTTCCCTGGAGTGCCGAGGTCAGCCTGGCCATAATCTGCCCCAAGTCATCACCACAAGCACTCACGGTCCTTGTGGATCAGGGGAAAATTTTTCACCATGCGACTAATTTGATAGCATGACGATGGTGGAGCCTGGCATTGGTTTACTCTTAGCGAGGCTTCCCGGTGGAAACGCCGGACTCCTTCTCACCTTGGAAGACCTTGCTGGGGATAAATCCCCACTGTACGTCAGAGTCCGATACTCGAGAACACCTTCCAGCCACGATGAGGTGGTAAACCGTTAAGAGGAAAAATTAAAAATTAATAGAGAATAGATTACCATTCTCCAGCGAAGAATTGTAGTGAGTGCAAATACCAGTGACTGCGTACAGACTTCCGTTATCATTTATCACTAGTATCGGCTTCTCTCTAACGTAGAATGTCTTTTTTCTGAAAATGATGAAATTCCGAAATATACACGGTGAATGTTTAACCAAAAAATAATTAAAATTAATTCCAAGAAATTTCTCGATAACAAAACTAGATTGATAAAATAGTAGTAGTAACAATAATCTGTAATGGTTATAAGTTCACTAACGTTCCCGGTGGTACTTCAGCGCTTTTTCCGAGTACTTCGTTAACAATCGGTGACGTGTCAAAATTAGCCGCTACGGCACAAGCCATCTTCGATCAGAATTCACCTTAAAAATACAGTAACTTCTCTAAGTAAAACACGCGTACATCAGTCATTAGCGGGAAAGGTATTAGATTGTAATATCGGAAAAAGTATGAGTGGACCATTTACAAGATAACATAGAGATGAGGAAGGCCGATATATTAGAAAATGGATTGCTTCACAAAAAGAAAAAAACGGTGGAATAGTCATATAATATATTGTGAAAAAGCGAAACAAAAGTTTTTATGCTAAGCTCGTGTCAGTCAGCTCAATCATTGAGATAGTTCTTTATTATTATTACTATTATTATTATTTTATCATTGCTAGGGCTGCAAATCATATCTTTCTTTCTTTTTTATGATGATAATTCTTTTCCAAGAAAGATCTAATGCTCGGCGAGTCCCTAGAGCGAGCAGAACCCACTGGGCTACTGCTACAGGCGACAGCGAAAAACGGAAGATTTACTGGCGTCCGCTCGAGTCATTGGACAGTCAGCAGGACTACGGGTGATATAGGGCTGCATGTGGCGCAGTGATCAGAAGCGCCCTACAACACACACATGGGATCAATCTCCGCCGCCTGACCCATCAAGCCTTCCATCCCTCCAGGGTCGGCATATTGGTTATCAGACTTGTCTGGGAGGATAGCAGCACTACTGGATACATCGGTAGGCCACCGTGAGTCATTGTAACTGCCAGATATCCGAGCGGCGGTCCCTCCACTGGATTCGATTCAATGTGACAAACCAGCTGTCGGATGAACGCGGACCTGGTGAAGGCGAAGGCGACCATCAATTTCGTGTTAGCTCAGTCATATAGGAAATTGTTCATTATTGTAATTGATGTTTACTGAAATTCGGTTATTTGGATTAAAATAAATGAAAGGATGTTTGAAGAGAACAAAAGAAACAAAGATGAAGTTGATGCCAACTAATTTATGTCAATGAAAGACGGCATCGATCGTTGTTGAAGACGTTTTATACGATAGCCGAAACAGTTAGAGTAATGGCTATGATGGATGGATGGGCATTCAGAGAATGCCATAGCTATGAAAACAGCACGAAATAAAAAAGCTAAGCAAAAACACGAGAAAACTGCATATCTTCTTCATAGCACGACTGAAGTTAATAAGTAATAAATAGCCTGTTAAATAAAAATACCTCTGAAATGTACACTTCATGTAAGGATCTATAAAATATATCATTACGAAACGCTTTCCAGAGAATGCTCTTCGGAATGAATCCACGAATGCAGCCCTAAGTTGCCGTTTTCTCATGAGCCTCGTTTTCTTTTTACATTGTTACAGCGGGAAATGCTTTTGCAAATGATAAGCGAATAAATTAGTTTCCACAGTAAGTGAGAAAATGTGCGATTTGCTTAGATTAGCTTCTCTAAGCCTAAAATTTTTCCCTAGAAAGGACAAAAATTCCTTCTGAAAGTTGGAAGAAAACTTCAAAAGACGTCTCATTTACAATGTTGACTTTTTATTCACTGCCTTTTACTAGCATTCACGGCAGGGTATTAATGCTGTTTTGGGCTTCCCAGATCAATCCCGTTGACGGGTGATTGCTGATGACCGTGATCGATAGAACTAGCTGAGAGAGAGGCGAAATAAAGGACGGCGTGGTGTTGTGGTGAGCGCGTTACTCCCCGGAAACGACAATAGTGCGTTCGTTCCCCACCGCAAACATCTGCGGTCCGGAATTTTGCAAATATCTCAGCATCACTGTGGACGTCTAATTTAGTTAAATTTCTACAATGGACTACCAACTGTAACAAAATTCCGATTTAGAATCAAAAAGTGTAATGTTTTCTTCCTTATAGTTGTTTTTGTTCATTAACGATATCACTTGCAACCAACTGAAGAACGATCGCTGACGAGATGATAAGGAGTGTGGCACGATTTGAAATAAATATTTTAATTATTTGATACTTGAACGGACCGTCATCACTAGCTCTGCGGGCCCAAGCATAATCTCCATTGTTCGGAGATTTGCCGGTTAAGCCGTTGTGGTTTCCTGGAATCCCGAGGACAGCCTGGCCAAGGTCTGCCCCAGGTCATCACCACGACAGGCAGTCGCAACTCATGTGGATCAGAGGGAGATTCACCACCATGCGACTTTGATACCAAGACAGTGGTGGATCCTGGCGTTGGTTTACTCTTAGCAAGGGTCCCTGATGGAAAAGCCGGACTCGTTCTCAGCTTGGGAGACCCTGCCAGTGGACGAATCCCCTGCTGTACATCGCAGTCCGATACCTAGGAACACCTCCTATCCACGATGAGGCGGTAAACCGTTGTAAGGAAATAAATATTTTAAGCTTGTTTATTCTAGCAAAGTAGTCGATCGAGTCATCTTTGAGCCATATATGGCTCATAAATGCGATATTATGACTGACTTTTCCGATTACAGATACACTTCATCATACATGCACCTTTGTTGTCTATATTGACAGAGTAGAAACAGCTTCTGCTGAATAATACCTAGTTAGTTTAACAATCAACACAGTGTAAGTAGTCGACATTTAATCAGGCTAGAACAACAGAAGTACATCATCATGAAAATAAATACAGCAACTGCAGTATCGGTCATCAATTGGTATTTGATGAGTAAACTGGTTATCGTTCCCAGGATCGACTTTCTATTAACCTCGGCATTGGAATATGAATGTGTCGTTTTCTTGTTTAGCAATCGCGAGGTCTTTAAACAGCATACATTTACTTCCATAGAAAAACACAATACAACACAACAGTAGCTGACGTTTCGGCAGTTTCGCCCTCTTCAGAGCCGCTTTTTCGTGAATTCCAATGAGAAAGTTTAGAACAGCTGATTATAGTCGCATGTGGTTGACGACTCACGAAAAAGCGGCTCTGAAGAAGGCGATACTGCCGAAACGTCAGCTACTGTTGTGTTGTATTGTGTTTCTCTATGGAAGTAAATGTATGCTGTTTAAAAACCTCGCTTAGAGGTGCCAAAAAAGGTTGTCAAAGAAGTGAATTAACCCTGTGTAAAGACAGTATGAAAATAGCACTCCTTTCATAATAGCAGTGATAATAATAATAACAATAAAAATAATATTATCAATGAGAACAGGAAAGGTCAAGCCTTTAGGGGTGCTGTAACAAATCGTAACAAATCTAGTTCAAAATGATATCTAGAACGCTGCTCGCAAGATTAACTAAGAATGTGAGCCAAAGACTCTCAAAGAAAAAAGCCCTTCTTCGGAAATAACTTCAAAAACGGTTGTGAAGCGAGGGAGCTAGGGAATGAAAAAGACTCGGAATCATTTTCAAATTCAGACGCTGTGCACCAAAATTGATTAATTAAAGTCATAGCCAGTTGTTTATTCGAGATCCATAAAATATTATTTTTGAGGCTGTTTAGACGCATATAAATGATTTTACGTTATCCACTAAGCACCTCTATTTTAGGGATTTGTATTGATTAGATCGCTGAGTCTCACGTGGGTCCCATTGTTGTAGACAATAGCTAAACATCACCTAAAGCTTCTAACTACAATAGTAAACGTTAAGATACACCTCTGGATTTAAAATTTGACTCTCTCTACCACAACTGCATCGAACTGGCTTGTGCCTTATACAGTCATACAGTCATTTTCACTTATATGTGAGCTGGTATAGTTGCAGCACTGTAGATGAAATTTTTTATGTTATCATAGCCAAAAAATTTATAATCAGTTGAATAGGAAGTATCAAAGAGGCAATTTTGATAACATACCTACTTCAAGTGAGTCCGACAAGCTGCTCGACAGTGTATCCAACTCCCGCCGCACTCCTAACAGCAAGGCCTGCCCTGCAAGCCAACCACTTGCACCCACTCGCAAAAGAAAAAGGAAAAATTAATAGCACCATACGAATAGCGCGAGGCTCCTCGTGCCACTTCATTGAGCGGAGCCAATGGGCACTGCATTCAAGTGACAAATACGAAGAGAGATGCTTTACTGGCTTCAATTCTACTTAGTGATTAAGAGAGTTACAGATTATGCAGATAACAAAACTATGTCAGACAAACCGACAACGGTGTTACTTTTTCTTAGGCTTCGTCCTCAGGACGTTTATGAAAATCCTAGATGTGAAACACGTGCTTCTCATGTCCATCGGGCACGCAGAACCCATTCTTTGAAGCATCATTGGGCTTGTACATCACTGGACAAGTACAAATGTTGACTGCTGAGGTTAAGATTGATTCGTTTAACGATCATTGGGTTGAGAAAGCTGAAACAGTTGGTTCTTCGTCTAACGTCAGAGAAGTACGTATATGTTCCCTTTGATGAGACAATTTTTTTGCACGACTTCATATCACATATCGTAGATCTCGGCACTTCTTCTTGCATTCGGTCCGTTTCGTTGCATCTGTGGTCTTCGAAGTTTCTTCTTTTTGATTCGGCTGCTGTTTTGCGAGTTTTGGCTTCGTTAAGAACGATTGCTGGTTGAGCACAGTCCTAGGATAACCGCTCCCACGTGGATTGAAGGAAGTGTGGTAACCTGGTCCCAGATAGGTCTAGCACACATTCCAAGAAATCGGAGGAATGTGAGTTCTGGTAACTGGATCGAACCAGCTCCATGCTCATGATGAACAAAATTAGTACCACCTTTTCTCTACAAGTGTAGTCTGACTGGTGGCGAGACGATCAGTTGGTTGACACAGGCAAATAGTTGATTCGCTGTCTACATACGTCATAGGATTATGGGTATTTGCTCGATGTTGAAGTAGGATGGCTGTAAACTAATCAAATACGGATAGTGCAACATATTCGGACAGCCGCACACTAACCACAAGGACAAAAACTGAATGTAAATGTAAATACATCTTCCATTTATGGTTAAAACTATACTTACGTAACATTTAAGGTGGAAACGTTACTTTTTCACGGCCCACTACTACTGTTCTCCAACTTGAAAGCAACTATGCTGCCTGCAATGACTATAGTAAGAAAGGCACAACTGGTATTGAACAAACCGCAGCTGAACAAAAAGAATAAAATGGCAC